TGTTGTTTCCCTATATAAACTATAGTAAACTTTACCCCCTCCCCAAGGGAGAACGGATACCTCGGGGGTCCTGAAATTTACAATTTTTATAAAGCTCCTGATGATCTTTCCATCCATATAGAGAAAATGACTGTAATACCTCTGAGTCTGGAGAAGAAGATTTTTGAAATATTGGTTAATTTTCCCTTTTGGGCCCCGCCCTGGCCCCTAGGGTTGGGGTAGGAATCCCAATTTTACAATTTGGTAGCCCCATATACCAAGGATGATTCTGACCAAGTTTGAAAAAATTCCATCCACTGGTTCTTGAGAAGAAGTTGATAATGTAAAAGTTCACGCACGACGCACGACGGACGACGACGGACGAAAAGTGATTGGAATAGGTCACTTGAGCAAAAGCTCAGGTGACCTAAAAATGTGTGGTTTATGCTTGAAAATACCTGTTATGAGATTAACTATATTTATAACAGAAACGTTTTACCTGAGTTTCACCAAGTATAGATATAAATAGATTTGTTGTCACACTAACTACACAACAGATAAATAGATGCCTTGACTATATGGGACCTAATGAAGAGTGACTTGATGGAGGTGGGATTGAACCTGTGACTATATGGGACCTACTGAAGAGTGACTTGATGGAGGTGGGATTGGATCCATGTTGCTGAAGCTGACTGAGAGCGTAGTCTGTGGGGTTATCCTGTTTGAGGAAGGCTCGCTCACGCATAAACTGTCGCATTGTCATCCAGAATGTGAAGGTAAACAGCAACTGAAACAAACAATTTAAGTCAGTAAAATATGTCTTAACTGGAAACAAGCAAATTTGTGGAATTTATATCCCCCGCTTGCAGGACATATTGTAGGTTAACATTATTGAGGTTAGGTTTAAACATGTGAGTATCGTGCTGTCGAGACATAATGTATAGCTTGAAACTTGAAGAAAAAAAAGCCCTATGCCTCATTGGTTATCCGCAAATATGCATAAATCACATTGTTTGGCAAACTTACCATGAATGTGCATAAGGAATTTAGTTGAAACATCTTAACAATATCTCCAGCAACAAGTACTAATTGTAATGGGGGACCATTACAGATCTCCCCCAAACTGCCCCCATAGTCGCAAAGATGCATCAGAAAAGGATTGCATTGCCATAGTACACCTACAATGTACATATAAAATTTGAGTGAAATTGAGCAATTTCTAAATTGCAACCAATCAGAATCCTCTGTGTAGTTGCTATGGCAATGGAACATATGCGATTGAATTTGCAGTCCCATAATACCCCTATATACCAATTTTCATAAAAATAACAAAATATCTAAATTGCGACCTGTGAATCAGAACCCTGTGTGTGGTTGCTATGGCAACGAAACCTATGCGGTTGAATTTGCAGTCTCCCAGATACCATTTTTCATCAAAATCGAACAATATCTTAATTTCCACCAATCAGAAGCCTTTGTGTGGTTGCTATGGCAAAGAAACCTATGCGGTTGAATTAGCAGTCCCCTAATATCCCTATATACTAATTTTCATCAAAATCAAACAATATCTAAATTTCGACCAATCAGAAGCCTTCGTGTGGTTGCTATGGTAACAAAACTAATGCTGTTTTATTGGCAGTCCCCTAATATCCCTATATACCAATTTTCATCAAAATCAAACCAAGTTTGAAGAAAATCAGCTAACATTTGTTACAGTTATTGCACAGAAACAAAACACAGCAGATAATTACGTTTTTTCGTTATTCAAGGGGCCATATCTCCGCCAAATGGGGTCCGCTGAAAGTGGTCATCGAACTTGGCCGAGCCCTTAAGGCATTGAACCCTGTGACCAAGTTTGAAGAAAATCGTTTAACATTTGTTGTAGTTATTGCACGGAAACGAAGCCCGGCAGATAATGACGTTTTTCATTATTCAAGGGGCCATAACTCCACCAAATGGGGTCCGCTGAAAGTGGTCATCAAAATTGGCCGAGCCCTTAAAGCATTTAATCCTGTGACCAAGTTTGAAGAAAATCAGTTAATATTTGTTGTAGTTATTGCACGGAAACGAAGCGTGACAGACAGACAGACAGACGGACAGACCCATATTAATATCCCCCGTTTCGGTGAAAGCGGGGGATAATAAATCAGTAAAAGATGTCTTAATACTAGAAAAAATCAATGAAATATGTTTTGATAAAAATCAGAGAAAATGTTTTTACTGGACAAATCAGAAAAATATGTCTTTAATGTACAAATATCAGTGAAATATGTCTTAATTGGATCATAAATCAGTGAAATATATCCTAACTGGACTAAAATCAGTGAAATATGTCTTTACTGGACAAAAATCTGTGAAACTTGTCTTAACTAGACATAAATCTGTGAAATATGTCTTAATTGGACATAAATCAGTACTGGGAAAAAATCTGTGAAATATGTCTTACTGGACAAAAATCTGTGAAATATGTCTTAATTGGACATAAATCAGTGAAATGTGTCTTAATTGGACATAAATCAGTAAAATTTGTCTTTACTGGACATAAATCGGTGAAATATGTCTTTACTGGACTAAAATCAGTGAAATATGTGCTTACTGTACAAAACCAGTGGAATATTTCGTTACGGGTCTTACTGATTTGACTGGTGTTACAATGAAGACGAGTGCAATTAATCTAAATTAATAGACTATACCTTAATCAATTAAAACATTCACATTCTATAAAGAAATAAAATTTTCAATTTTGATTTCAGGCAAACAAAAGGATTTACCTGTAATGCGTTTGAGAGATTTATCTGTAATACGTTGGGAGTGATTTACCTGTAATACGTTTGAGAGATTTATCTGTAATACGTTGGGAGTGATTTACCTGTAATACGTTGGAGAGATTTATCTGTAATACGTTGGGAGTGATTTACCTGTAATATGTTGGAAAGATTTACCTATTATACGTTGGAGAGATTATCCTGTAACCTGCTTGAACAATTTACCTGTAATACGTTGGAGAGATTATCCTGTAATGTGTTGGGAGAGATTTACCTGTAATACATTGGAGAGACTTACCTGTAATACATTGGAGAGATTTACCTGTAATGTGTTGGAGAGATTTATCTGTAATCTGCTGGAGAGGTTTAACTGTAATACGTAGGAGAGATTTACCTGTAATGTGTTGGAGAACTTTACCTGTAATCTACTGGAGAGATTTACCTGGAATGTTCTGGAGAGATTTACCTGTAATGTGTTGGAGAGATTTACCTGTAATGTGTTTGAGAGATTTACCTGTAATGTGTCTAGAGAGATTTATCTGTAATGTGTTGTAGAGATTTACCTGTAATACGTTGGAGAGATTTACCTATTATACGTTGGAGAGATTTATCTGTAATGTGTTGGAGAGATTTACCTGTAATACGTTGGAGAGATTTATCTGTAATGTGTTAGAGAGATTTACCTGTAATCTGCTGGAGAGATTTACCTGTAATGTGTTGGAGAACTTTGCCTGTAATCTACTGGAGAGATTTACCTGTCATGTTCTGGAGAAATTTACCTGTAATATGCTGGAGAGATTAACCTGTAATGTGTCTAGAGAGGTTTAACTGTAATACGTGGGAGAGATTTACCTGTAATGTGTTGGAGAACTTTACCTGTAATCTACTGGAGAGATTTACCTGTAATGTTCTGGAGAAATTTACCTGTAATATGCTGGAGAGATTAACCTGTAATGTGTCTCAGAAATTTACCTGTAATGTGGTGGAGAGATTTACCGGTAATGCATTTGAGAGATTTACCTGTAATACATTTGAGAGATTTACCTGTAATGTGTCTGAGAGATTTACCTGTAATGTGTCCGAGAGATTTATCTTTAATGTTGTGTTGGAGAGATTTACCTGTAATCTGCTGGAGAGATTTACCTGTAATGTGTTGGAGAGATTTACCTGTAATGCATTGGAGAGATTTACCTGTAATGTGTTGGAGAGATTTACCTGAAATGTGTTGGAGAGATTTACCTTTAATGTGTCGGAGAGATTTACCTGTAATGAGTTGGAGAGATTTACCTGTAATCTGCTCGAGAGATTTACCTGTAATGTGTTGGAGAGATTTACCTTTAATGTGTCGGAGAGATTTACCTGTAATGAGTTGGAGAGATTTACCTGTAATGCGAGCTGCAGACATGGATACTTGAACTTCTGTAGACCAATTTCAGACAGTTTCACCTTTCCAATTTGTTCTGGGAGTTCGTCAGGAAGGTCAAATCCATACACGTACTGAATGATTAGCAACCCCTCACCGTAGAACACAATGACTGGGGACAACATCAGACAAACCCTCCGTGACGAGGGGAACATCCAGATGAAACAGGCACTCAACAACATGACAAACGTCAACCAGCTGTGGAAGGTGATACTCCAAGCCTGAACAGAAAACAGCACATGTAGTCAATCTGAAATACCTTTCTGGTTTGATGCTTCACGAAAGTATGGTATTCCTACATGCTTGTATTTTTTGTCTTTTTAAAAACTTTTTTATACTCCAGTTTCAATGAAACTACATGTTCGCAAAGGCTAAAGGAATGCTAATCTTGTTTAAGATACAACTGACCAATCCACTACATGAAAAACCCTGTTATTATTTTAAGCATCATTGACAAGAAAATACATTTGACAAATGTAAAGACATGACTGACCACCATACATGTAGCTATTAATGTAAAGATTTTACTTGCCATCATAGCTATTAATGTAAAGAATTAACTGACCATCGTGGCTATTAATGTAAAGGTTTAACTGACCATCGTGGCTATTAATGTAAAGGTTTAACTGACCATCATGGCTATTAATGTAAAGGTTTAACTGACCATCATGGCTATTAATGTAAAGGTTTAACTGACCATCATGGCTATTAATGTAAAGGTTTAACTGACCATCATGGCTATTAATGTAAAGGTTTAACTGACCATCATGGCTATTAATGTAAAGGTTTAACTGACCATCATGGCTATTAATGTAAAGGTTTAACTGACCATCATGGCTATTAATGTAAAGGTTTAACTGACCATCATGGCTATTAATGTAAAGGTTTAACTGACCATCATGGCTATTAATGTAAAGGTTTAACTGACCATCATGGCTATTAATGTAAAGGTTTAACTGACCATCATGGCTATTAATGTAAAGGTTTAACTGACCATCATGGCTATTAATGTAAAGGTTTAACTGACCATCATGGCTATTAATGTAAAGGTTTAACTGACCATCATGGCTATTAATGTAAAGGTTTAACTGACCATCATGGCTATTAATGTAAAGGTTTAACTGACCATCATGGCTATTAATGTAAAGGTTTAACTGACCATCATGGCTATTAATGTAAAGGTTTAACTGACCATCATGGCTATTAATGTAAAGGTTTAACTGACCATCATGGCTATTAATGTAAAGGTTTAACTGACCATCATGGCTATTAATGTAAAGGTTTAACTGACCATCATGGCTATTAATGTAAAGGTTTAACTGACCATCATGGCTATTAATGTAAAGGTTTAACTGACCATCATGGCTATTAATGTAAAGGTTTAACTGACCATCATGGCTATTAATGTAAAGGTTTAACTGACCATCATGGCTATTAATGTAAAGGTTTAACTGACCATCATGGCTATTAATGTAAAGGTTTAACTGACCATCATGGCTATTAATGTAAAGGTTTAACTGACCATCATGGCTATTAATGTAAAGGTTTAACTGACCATCATGGCTATTAATGTAAAGGTTTAACTGACCATCATGGCTATTAATGTAAAGGTTTAACTGACCATCATGGCTATTAATGTAAAGGTTTAACTGACCATCATGGCTATTAATGTAAAGGTTTAACTGACCATCATGGCTATTAATGTAAAGGTTTAACTGACCATCATGGCTATTAATGTAAAGGTTTAACTGACCATCATGGCTATTAATGTAAAGGTTTAACTGACCATCATGGCTATTAATGTAAAGGTTTAACTGACCATCATGGCTATTAATGTAAAGGTTTAACTGACCATCATGGCTATTAATGTAAAGGTTTAACTGACCATCATGGCTATTAATGTAAAGGTTTAACTGACCATCATGGCTATTAATGTAAAGGTTTAACTGACCATCATGGCTATTAATGTAAAGGTTTAACTGACCATCATGGCTATTAATGTAAAGGTTTAACTGACCATCATGGCTATTAATGTAAAGGTTTAACTGACCATCATGGCTATTAATGTAAAGGTTTAACTGACCATCATGGCTATTAATGTAAAGGTTTAACTGACCATCATGGCTATTAATGTAAAGGTTTAACTGACCATCATGGCTATTAATGTAAAGGTTTAACTGACCATCATGGCTATTAATGTAAAGGTTTAACTGACCATCATGGCTATTAATGTAAAGGTTTAACTGACCATCATGGCTATTAATGTAAAGGTTTAACTGACCATCATGGCTATTAATGTAAAGGTTTAACTGACCATCATGGCTATTAATGTAAAGGTTTAACTGACCATCATGGCTATTAATGTAAAGGTTTAACTGACCATCATGGCTATTAATGTAAAGGTTTAACTGACCATCATGGCTATTAATGTAAAGGTTTAACTGACCATCATGGCTATTAATGTAAAGGTTTAACTGACCATCGTGGCTATTAATGTAAAGGTTTAACTGACCATCGTGGCTATTAATGTAAAGGTTTAACTGACCATCGTGGCTATTAATGTAAAGGTTTAACTGACCATCGTGGCTATTAATGTAAAGGTTTAACTGACCATCGTGGCTATTAATGTAAAGGTTTAACTGACCATCGTGGCTATTAATGTAAAGGTTTAACTGACCATCGTGGCTATTAATGTAAAGGTTTAACTGACCATCGTGGCTATTAATGTAAAGGTTTAACTGACCATCGTGGCTATTAATGTAAAGGTTTAACTGACCATCGTGGCTATTAATGTAAAGGTTTAACTGACCATCGTGGCTATTAATGTAAAGGTTTAACTGACCATCATGGCTATTAATGTAAAGGTTTAACTGACCATCATGACTATTAATGTAAAGGTTTAACTGACCATCATAGCTATAAGGGTGAGAACATAGCTCTGTTTCATCACATACACCAGAAACGACACCATGGCCGGGCGTTTCCAGCTCTTCCGTCGGGACGCCTTGCTGCTTCCTCCTCCATCAGCCTCATCTTCACTTTCAAATGCCACAGACATGGTGGGGCTCCCATTGTCAGGCTGATTTGAGGCTCCGCCCTCATTTGCTTCTACAGGATCAAAACTGCTGTATGACGGCCCTTCGCCTGCATTCACCAGGTGCTGAAGTACACAGAAGGTTGTTAGTAGATGTACCACTCACAGACATCTTAAATAAATTATTATTCTGAACAGTAACCTTTTCTAACCCTTATAAGTACAACACTTTATCTTCTGAACAGTAACCCTTTCTAACCCTAATAAGTACAACTCTTTATCTTCTGAACAGTACCCCTTTCCAACCCCAATGAGTACAACACTTTATCTTCTGAAGAGAACCCCTTTCCAACCCCAATGAGTACAACACTTTATCTTCTGAACAGGAACCCTTTCTAACCCCAATAAGTACAACACTTTATCTTCTAAACAGTAACCCTTTCTAACCCCAATAAGTGCAACACTTTATCTTCTGAACAGTAACCCTTTCTAACCCCAATGAGTCCAACACTTTATCTTCTGAACAGTACCCCTTTCTAACCCCAATAAGTACAACACTTTATCTCCTGAACATTAACCCTTTCTAGCCCCAATAAGTACAACACTGTCGCATTTGAACAGTAACCCTTTCTAACCCTAATAAGTACAACTCTTTATCTTCTGAAAAGTACCCCTTTCCAACCCCAGTGAGTACAACACTTTATCTTCTGAACAGTACCCCTTTCTAACCCCAATAAGTACAACACTCTATCTTTTGAACAGTAACCCTTTCTAACCCTAATAAGTACAACTCTTTATCTTCTAAACAGTAACCCTTTCTAACCCCAATAAGTGCAACACTTTATCTTCTGAACAGTACCCCCTTCCAACCCCAATGAGTACAACACTTTAACTTCTGAAGAGAACCCCTTTCCAACCCCAATGAGTACAAAACTTTATCTTCTGAACAGTAACCCTTTCTAACCCTAATAAGTACAACTCTTTATCTTCTGAAAAGTACCCCTTTCCAACCCCAGTGAGTACAACACTTTATCTTCTGAAGAGAACCCCTTTCTAACCCCAATGAGTACAACACTTTATCTTCTGATCAGTAACCCTTTCTAACCCTAATAAGTACAACTCTTTATCTTCTGAACAATACCCCTTTCCAACCCCAATGAGTACAAAACTTTATCTTCTGAACAGTAACCCTTTCTAACCCTAATAAGTACAACTCTTTATCTTCTGAAAAGTACCCCTTTCCAACCCCAGTGAGTACAACACTTTATCTTCTGAACAGTAACCCTTTCTAACCCCAATAAGTACAACACTTTATCTTTTGAACAGTAACCCTTTCCAACCCCAATAAGTACAACACTTTATCTTCTGAACAGTAATCCTTTCTAACCCCAATGAGTACAACACTTTATCTTCTGAACAGTAATCCTTTCTAACCCCAATGAGTACAACACTTTATCTTCTGAACAGTAATCCTTTCTAACCCCAATGAGTACAACACTTTATCTTCTGAACAGTAATCCTTTCTAACCCCAATGAGTACAACACTTTATCTTCTGAACAGTAATCCTTTCTAACCCCAATGAGTACAACACTTTATCTTCTGAACAGTAACCCTTTCTAACCCCAATGAGTACAACACTTTATCTTTAAATTTATTCTGTTTATCATCCACAAATGTACCAATCATTTTAATTGATAACTATAGGAAAATGCCTCTAAAATTTTCCTACTGAGTGACTGAATATCACTTTATTTCCCATGAGGTTAATTTTCATGTTAATTCACATCGACTCATTTGAAAATTTAAAAACTTTTACAAATATTAATTTCATATTTCAATACTATCAATATTGAAATAGCATCCCCCAGCACATGCAGATAATACATATGTGCTGAGTTCACGACATAAAGTAACATTTAAGTGCAAAGTGCTATCAGTAAGATATTTCCTTGTCAATGTCAAGCAGACAATTCTAAATAAATCCGTGAAATTTCCTAGCGTGTTTTGAGGATTGGGTATCTTGTTGCTACCAATTCTTATGTGTTAGTATGATGAAAGTTAAGGCCTCGTTCATATCTGTTTTGAAGATTGTGTATATTGTTGCTACCAATACTTATGTGTTAGTATGATGACAGTTAAGGCCTCGTTCATAGCGTGTTTTGAGGATTGTGTATCTTGTTGCTACCGACACTTATGTGTTAGCATGACAGTTAAGGCCTCGTTCATAGCTGTTTTGAAGATTGTGTATCTTGTTGCTACCGACACTTATGTGTTAGTATGATGACAGTCAAGGCCTCGTTCATAGTATGGTGAGCTTAACGATTACTTAATACAACACTATACTAGACCTGAAACATTTAAATCTGCATGTTCAGGGATTAGAAACAAACATTGGACAATAAGAAAGTCCAACAAATTTTAAAATATTTGACAAAAATTCTATTTTGAAAGTTTGTGTTGCAACTCGTTCAGCTAAACAGGCATCGAGGAACTTGGCTAAGAATGCATGCGTACTTCGTTAGTATTGCACAAGGCGATATATATACATACGGAGCGAGCAGTACAATATACAGACATATAGCTATCATGATTTCTATACAATATTAGTACTAAAGCAAGCAATCACCGACTTCATCTGGCGTCATATGCCATGGTTTCCTTCCCGTCTTTTGTATTAGGTTTATTTCATATATGCAATATTGTACAATATTATAAATTCAATGTATAATCAACTATTGCCCAGAACATCGGTCCTTGCGGCAGTTTACGGCCAGTCTATATATATAGCTCGTCACCCACAATCAGCAGATCTGTGGTCCAAGTACGATTTCAGGGTAAATGACCACAGTATAAACTGTCATACTGCCCTGTAATCTTGGTGTAACCTTTTTGGAATCAATCTTTAAAGTTAGAAACAAGATTTCATCTATATATGTGTGTACAATATACATACAATATTTAGAAAACACTACATGATAATTAATTACTATCATAATAGAGAGCGCAATAATTGTTTCAATACATGTAAAACATTCATAGAGTTCTATAATAAAACAAACAAGCAGATAAGGTGGAATTAGGGGGACTTTACGTAATTTGCTGAATTTATCATAAAATAATGCTTCATGCAGCATAAGCCAATGGTCTGATACTAACATGCATAAAAACACACTCATATCCATGAACAGCACTTCAGGTAACCGACACAGGTAAAACATGAAAGATTTAACAACCTAGGTAAATCAGCTCACCAAGTTTTTACCTGCCAAGGTAAAGTGAGCAAAACGTTACCTTCCCAGGTACAATACATACAAATACATGCAATTACCTACACAAGAAAAATAAAGCTTTTCCCTGCCCAGGCAAAATATACAAAGCTTTTCCCTGCCAAGTGCATAGCTAGCTCTTACTCGGAGTGGATCCATTTAGGAGCAGGTCCAGGGCATAGCCTTAGTAGGAGACAAGGGGCTACAACAAGTAGTGCTTTGGTTTTTCTATTTAAAAAATTGGTGGATTCAACTGCATGTCAGCATATAGGCAGCATATAGGCAGCTACATATAGGCAGCTACATGTCAGCATATAGGCAGCCTATAGGCAGCTACATATAGGCAGCTACATGTCAGCATATAGGCAGCATATAGGCAGCTACATATAGGCAGCTACATGTCAGCATATAGGCAGCCTATAGGCAGCTACATGTCAGCATATAGGCAGCCTATAGGCAGCTACATGCCTACCCACGTAAAATATGCAAAATAACCAAACACCACTGCATGCTATTGCTGCCTTCTCCACTCGTACACAACACTACCAAGTTATGCTTACTACTGCATATTGCTGTTTTGAATCCTGTAAACATTTAAAAATAAAACAACTATCTGAGATTTAATTAATGATACATTACTATTTAAGTAGGTACTCAATGTGGCATTCAGATAAGTTTTAATTATTATATCCTAAAATCATACAGGAAGTGGATCAACTACAGCCGCAAATCATACAGGAAGTGGATCAATTCCAGCCTCTAATCATACAGGAAGTGATCAATTTTAGTCTCTAATCATACAGGAAGTGGATCAATTACAGCCTGTTATCATTCAGGGTTTTAAATGTTTCACATTAAATATTTACTTGTTTGGAAACAGCAATTATTTTATCTAGCCTTGCAATAAATGGATCACCAAGTCCACTAAAGAGAGTTAGGAAGGAACATAAGCCAGGACTGGATTTAACAAAGTGTAGGCTCCACAGGTACCCCTGCTCTTTACTGGTATCCACACTGTGAAGCCCATTCATGAGACAGTGGTGGTGGAATGCTGGAAAACCTGTATTATGCTGTATTTTAATATTTGAGGTCAAGGTCAAAGCTCAAAAGGAGGACAAAGTGGCCTCATTTATGGTGTGATGTACTTATATGCAATGATTGATGCCTATTCAAGAAATAGCGAGTTAGATATGCTCTGGAAACCATTAGTTTAGATCTTGAGGTCATGGTCAAAGGTAAAATCAAGGTTACAGTGACCTCATTTTAGGGTACAGCACACCTCCTTCCCACAATGTACTTAAGTACAAAGTTTGATGCCCTTTCATCAAACAGCGACAGAAATATGTACTAAGGTTTGATGTCCACTCATGAAACAGCACATGAGATATGTACTAATGTGTGATTTCCACTCATTAAACAGCACATGAGATATGCTCCAGAAACTATTATTTTGGTACTTAAGGTTACATTCAAAGGTTGAATTGTACCTATACAAACTTGATGCCCTTTCAAAGTCAACGATGTACCTAAACACAAATTTTGATATTTATTCACGAAACAGCAGTTGGGATATGCTATGGAAACCAGTATTTTCATTGTTGAGATCAAGGTCAAAGGTCAAATTGAGGTCACAGTGACCTTGTTTTAGGATGCGACACCACCTTCCCATTATGTACTTATATCAAGTTTTATGCACATCCATGAAACAATAGCTGAGATATGCTCTGGAAACCACAGTCAGCACAGTGTTACAACAGACACACGAACGAATGCACGTGACCAAGGACAAGCAAAGAGAATAATTCAACCTCGGTCAAAGCAAGTGTATAAAAAGGAGGCAAAATTCCAAAACAGTTAATACAGCAAACTGGAAAATACTACATTATACAATGAAGAAACGCTTTAGGTAACAACATTTAGATTTGATGGATATTGGCATCAACAATTTGTTTTTCATAATCTCAAAAAAAAGTTAGAAATCTCCGTGATGTTAAAAACATATTTGGGGTTTTTTTTCTTCTTTAGTTTTCCATCATTCATTTTTTTTTTCAATGACAGCCTTTTTTCAGTCAAATTTAAATTTAAAAATGTTATTTGCAAATAGCCATCAAAGTGTTCATAAAGGGTTGTGATATAGAATACCAGTGCTTACATAAGCAAACAGATACAAATAAAAACAAGAGGCCCAATGGGCCTGCATCACTCACTAACGATTACATTAGTAATAAATCCCTGAAAGAATCATACAGGATTCAAGCTACCTGTGTGTCGCAGGGATTTCAGTACAGACTGGTGGTAACTTCAAGCCTCACTATGGAAGCTGTCCCATTTTAAAAACTTTACTGACTCTGAATTTCTAATATACATTATGTATTTGACAAAAGTTATGAAACAACTTTGATCAAATTATATAACCCCCGTGTCGGGGTCTTAGTGTGGGATCACACCAGCAGCACCCAGAGAAAACCCATGTAGTTATGTAGACCATAACCTTTTACATCTGATCAGGGATCAACCCCCCACCATTCGACTTTCTAAAAAGTGTACAAAAAGATTTTTTGGTGCAGCACCACACTACATGTACAACGGAATGTCGGTTAAGCTTGTTACAACCAGTCTGTAGTTCATAGGGTTACAACTGCTGTTCATGGACATGTGAATTCACAACATTCTCACAACATAGAGAATCAAACTGGAATCTTTGGTAACAGTAATTCCACCAAACCTCTGTCTGTCCTTCCTCCGCTGGTACAGCTACCTGTCGCTCTGTTGGCTTGGCTCGTCGACGTTTCCCTAGCTTTTCCTCGATGTCTAAACCATCTGTCTCATCAAGGTCACACCTCTGTTTTGATGACATGAAAAAACAACCCATATTTTTTTTTTTATAATTCGAAAATGAATATAAAACCAAAATGCCAAAGCCCGAAACCTCTGATCAGATTAAAATCCAGGCTTGGAATAAAGAATATTGTCTGACAATGTTGGAAAGGAATGGACACTGCTACTTTGTAAAACAGGGATGTTTCTAACTTCTCTACAAGGACCACCACAGGAGCAGGAGAAAAAACAGCACAGTTCTTTTCCTGTACCTACTCTTTAGTAGACTATTGTGAAGAACAGGGCCTTTTTGATAACTGTATCCAAAAAGAATCAAATTGTGTATGGGCGGTGAAAAAGTCCAAAACAAATAAAATCACTTGAAACCACTAAGATTTTGTCAGATGTTCTACCTAAAATTCAGTCTGTCAGGAAAGAAGGGGCTCTTACATCTGATAATCAGAAAAAAATACTGGACCTATTAATATTTCTTCTGAGATTCCAAATTCTTGTTAATAAGTCAATTTAAACATACTTGTGAAAAAGAAATACCGGGTATTTGTAAAAAAGACGAGCTTTATGATACATATTTTGTGTCATTAAGAAATGAACAGTTTGTTCATGGCCTACGAAGGACAAACTTTACATCTATTCTTTTTCTAACAGATAGATTTGCTTGGCCTAAGACCGACAGAACGTTGCTAACAGATAGATTTGCTTGGCCTAAGACCGACAGAACGTTGCTAACAGATAGATTTGCTTGGCCTAAGACCGACAGAACGTTGCTAACAGATAGATTTGCTTGGCCTAAGACCGACAGAACGTTGCTAACAGATAGATTTGCTTGGCCTAAGACCGACAGAACGTTGCTAACAGATAGATTTGCTTGGCCTAAGACCGACAGAACGTTGCTAACAGATAGATTTGCTTGGCCTAAGACCGACAGAACGTTGCTAACAGATAGATTTGCTTGGCCTAAGACCGACAGAACGTTGCTAACAGATAGATTTGCTTGGCCTAAGACCGACAGAACGTTGCTAACAGATAGATTTGCTTGGCCTAAGACCGACAGAACGTTGCTAACAGATAGATTTGCTTGGCCTAAGACCGACAGAACGTTGCTAACAGATAGATTTGCTTGGCCTAAGACCGACAGAACGTTGCTAACAGATAGATTTGCTTGGCCTAAGACCGACAGAACTTTGGTAACAGATAGATTTGCTTGGCCTAAGACCGACAGAACTTTGGTAACATAATGTTTTTGTTTCGCCCGAGAATGACCAACCTTCCTGTCTAGCCACTGTCTGGTGCCGGCGGCTGCAGTAACATACAGCGCCAGGACGATCGCAGGGTTGACAAAGTGAGTCCAGTTGTAGGGGTCATAGTATTCTATAGCCCAGGGCTCGGAACAGTTGGTCCGGATAACTCCCGTCAGGCCGAGAATTCTGTGGAGATCAAACAAGTTGAAGCATGACTATTGTACCAGTATAAGGATAGGTCAGTAAATTTAAAATGAAACCTGTCTAATCTGACCCCTGAGAATTTAAGAATATAGCATAACTGTTCCTCTGAAGCTTGGGACTTACCAAGACATCTGAAGCTTGGGACTTATCAGGACATCTGAAGCTTGGGACTTACCAGGACATTGGGACTTACCTGGATATCTGAAGCTTGGGACTTACTAAGACATCTGAAGCTTGGGACTTATCAGGCATCTGAAGCTTGGGACTTATCAGGCATCTGAAGCTTGGGACTTACCAGGACATCTGAAGATTTGAACTTACTTAGATATCTCAAGCTTGGGACTTACCTAGACATCTGTAAGTTGGGACTTACCTGGATATCTAAAGCTTGGGACTTACCAGGACATCTGAAGATTTGAACTTACTTAGATATCTCAAGCTTGGGACTTTCCTGGACATCTGAAGCTTGGGACTTACCAGGACATCTGAAGATTTGAACTTACTTAGATATCTCAAGCTTGGGACTTACCTGGATATCTGAAGCTTGGGACTTACCAGGACATCTGAAGATTTGAACTTACTTCGATATCTCAAGCTTGGGACTTACCTGGACATCTGAAGCTTGGGATGTACCTGGGTATCTGAAGCTTGGGACTTACCTTGACCTCTGAAGCTTGGGACCTACCTGGACATCTGAAGCTTGGGACGTACCTGGGTATCTGAAGCTTGGGACTTACCTTGACCTCTGAAGCTTGGGACTTACCTGGACATCTGAAGCTTGGGACGTACCTGGGTATCTGAAGCTTTAGGACATATGCAGATATCTCAAGCTTGGGACTTTCCTGGATATATGAAGCTTTGGACTTACTTAGATATCTCATCTTTGGACTTACTTAGATATCTCAAGCTATGGGACTTACCTGGACATCTGAAGCTTGGGACTTACCTTGACACCAGACACCAGAAGCTTGGGACTTTCCTTGACACCAGACACCAGAAGCTTAGGACTTACTTTGACACCAGAAGCTTGGGCCTTACCTTGACACCAGACACCAGAAGCTTGGGACTTACAAGGACATCTGAAGCTTGGGACTTGCCTTGACACCAGACACCAGAAGCTTGGACCTTACCTGGCCATCTGAAGCTTGGGACTTACCTTGACACCAGACACCAGAAGCTTGGGACTTACCTTGCCACCAGAAGCTTGAGACTTACCTTGACACCAGAAGCTTAGGACTTACCTTGCCACCAGAAGCTTGGGACTTACCTTGACACCAGACACCAGAAGCTTGGAACTTACCTGGACATCTGAAGCTTGGGACTTACCTTGACACCAGAAGCTCTGGGGGAACTGCCTCCTGGAAAAACTGGAACTGGTACAGGTGTAGAAGGAGTAAGTGCAGTCCACTCCATACCACTATCACTATCTTAAAATAACTAAACTTGGAGCCGAGACTCTTATAAAACGCCCACCAGGTGGCAATATATAAAAACGACAGAAAATAAAATGCACCGATGGCTGATGGGACTATGATTCCACTTGCTGCTAATAAGATTGCGACAGCAAATTCTCCAAGGAAAGATACGAATGTGTCGACCGGACGTTTCCTCTTGGTGCGTGTTGCTGTGGATAATATTTCTTCTTGTCCATTTACTGTGGGCTGAGGAGCTAAAAGTTTGTAACACACAGCAAAGACCAGAACAGACACGATAAGGACAATCACATCTGGGAATACAAGGCGTAGAATGTCTAAGAATGGAACACCATCAAGTCTGAAAATGAAAATACTATATGTAATATTGCAAATATTTAAGGCTATGACTCCCACCAAGAAAGGAAACAACAAGCTTACTTCATACAACATGAGATTCCCTATTGCCAAGAATGCTTTATATCAAATTTGGTTGAAATTTGATCAATGGGTCAGGAAGAGGAGATTTTTTCAATTCTAAGCACCCAAACTGTACCCAAACTGTCTCCTTTTGGGCTCTGTCCCTAAAAGCCCCAGGAGAGTTAAACTGTTCCTTATACATCCACAGATTCCAAAGTTGAAAAGACTAAGGATGCTTCACAAGTTTGGTCGAGATCTGTATGTATATGTACAAGGTTATAGGGCCTTGCTTATCAGAGAATAAAGGTGTGGGACAAGACCCTGGAGCTAATCCTGGTAGCATGATTGTTAACACTTTATGCCTAGCAAGCAGAAGTGTTGGGAAATCGGTTTAAATTTTATGATTGATCATTGGTTACCATTAACCAACCGATGATCGATTAATAATTGTTTTATAGAAACACAAAGTGAAATCCTCCATGCAAGTCACTTAGGCAAATAAAAAAGTGATACCATGTAATTATAATATAAGAAACACCTCTCTTCAAACACTGAATCTGTAATATATAGTGCTAACTAGCAGCTATAAGCTAAAAGTAAGTCATGCAGTGATGATGCCATTAATTTTACTTAGTAGCTGGGAAAATGTCTACTGAAAACTTCATAATGTCTACACATTAGCATTCCGACTAAAATTGATCATGGATTTTGTACTTGAATAATCAGTTTGTTAGCCTAGCTGACCGATGCTCGACTTAGTCGACTAATTGGAACACCACTAGTAAGCAGTTATATGCGATATTAAAAGGTGGAGCCAGAGCCCTTGGACAACCCAGGTTGAATACTCCAGTATTCACGTCTTTATGCCAGGCAATTGCAAATATGGTTAAGAATGTGGATGTTAATGACATAGACTCATAGTCCTTATTGTAGGGGCTGGGCTAGACCCTGGATCCAATCCAGGTAGCATGAATGTCCAGGTTTCTCAACTGTTTTCATTTTATGACCAGTTAAGGATTATAGATAAGTCCCCAGGGGCATGTATGGATCATTGACCTTTACCTGGCCCTATATACTGTACAACATTACTGTGTCTGTTCAGGCCCTATACTGTAGAACATTACTGTGTCTGTTCAGGCTCTATATACTGTACAACATTATTGTGTCTGTTCAGGCCCTACACTGTACAACATTATTGTGTCTGTTCAGGCCCTACACTGTACAACATTATTGTGTCTGTTCAGGCCCTACACTGTACAACATTATTGTGTCTGTTCAGGCCCTACACTGTACAACATTATTGTGTCTGTTCAGGCCCTACACTGTACAACATTATTGTGTCTGTTCAGGCCCTACACTGTACAACATTATTGTGTCTGTTCAGGCCCTACACTGTACAACATTATTGTGTCTGTTCAGGCCCTACACTGTACAACATTATTGTGTCTGTTCAGGCCCTACACTGTACAACATTATTGTGTCTGTTCAGGCCCTATACTGTACAACATTATTGTGTCTGTTCAGGCCCTACACTGTACAACATTATTGTGTCTGTTCAGGCCCTATACTGTACAACGTTACTGTGTCTGTTCAGGCCCTATACTGTAGAACATTACTGTGTCTGTTCAGGCCCTATACTGTACAACATTATTGTGTCTGTTCAGGCCCTATACTGTACAACATTACTGTGTTTGTCCACACCCCATACTGTACAGGAAGAAAATTAATTATTCAAGCTTCCTTACCTTTCCACTGCTATCTGTCTGGCTATTTCTTCAGCAGTAGAGCCTGGAAGTAAGAAAAGATAAAATTATATAAATAATTTATCCATTCTTTTAAAAAGAGCACTAGAAAAAAAAGGTCTAATACTCATAATCCAAAGGAAATATTGGCCGCTTTCGTTTATCGCATTCCAAACCGGTTGAACCGTTTGGACCATAGTTGTTATAAAATAAGGTTGGACCATAGTTGTTATAAAATAAGGTTGGACTCAGTAATCAGATGCTGTTTTCAGTGACAAGGCAAGTTGCAAGGCCTGCAGAATTTTTTGCAGGTCTGCCAGGATTTACACCAAACAATGTTACATAAAAAAAACCAGGCCCATGGTAAACACCACTCTAGAGAGACAAAATGGTCTTAATACAGAAGTGGTCTTAATATACAGGTATCAGAAAAACACCACTCTAGAGAGGTAAAATAAGTCTTAATACACAAGTGGTCTTAATATACAGGTATCAGAAAAACACCACTCTAGAGGTAAAATAAGTCTTAGTACAGAAGTGGTCTTATAATATACAGATATCAGAAAAACACCACTCTAGAGGTAAAATAAGTCTTAATACAGAAGTGGTCTTATAATATACAGGTATCAGAAAAACACCTCTCTAGAGAGGTAAAATAAGTCTTCATACACAAGTGGTCTTAATAAACAGAAAACATTTTGGAAAACACCACTGTAGACAGACAAAAGGGTCTTAATACAGAAGTGGTCTTAATATACAGGTATCAGAAAAACACCCCTCTAGAGAGGTAAAATAAGTCTTCATACACAAGTGGTCTTAATATACAGGAAACATTTTGGAAAACACCACTGTAGACAGACAAAAGGGTCTTAATACAGAAGTGGTCTTAATATACAGGTAACAGGGAAAACACCTCTAGAAGATAAGTCTTAACACATATGTGGTCCTAATATACAGGTAACAGAGAAAATGACACTCTAGAGAGGTAACATTCTCTCACACTCTATAATATCAGATACACACATCTTTAGCCAAATTAATTAAAGGCAATCGACGATCAACTGCACACACACAAAACACATACAGGAGCTTGTTACCCTGTATCAGCCGTCACGATCAACTGCACACACACAAAACACATACAGGAGCTTGTTACCCTGTATCAGC